CAACCACGTACAGTACTGGAACACGTCTGTTGCAGATTAAAGCTCGCGTTGACTGTGACCCCGCACGGTAGGCAGCTGCTCCTGCTCGTGCTAGACCGCACCGAACCAAACTAGCTAGAACAGCCATGCACACGCTGACAAGCAGAATTGCAGTTGCGGGGTGTGGTGTCTTTTGCTCGGCGCACCTGCATGCACGCATGCTGGTTGCCATCTCTGAACTGAAAGCGACGCGGCGACCGAAACGTTGCTAGGAAACGCTCGTCAACCCGAATGATATGATTGCCCATCCTTCAGATCCAAGAAAAGGCGCGCTCCCTGTGCTCAAATGGGCACAACCACCTGTGAACTCCGTGGCTATAAGACGTACTCGCCGGGCCATAAGACCGAACTGATCGAGTCACATGCCAGCTAGTGTGCACAACAGCTACCACCTGCGCGATCGACTGCGAGCTCTAGCGCCCGCAGCAGCTAGGCAGCTCGCTCTGGGAGAGAGGAGAGAGATCAATGGCGCCCCGTGGCAGCATGGCTTGTAGTCTTCAGCTCGCCGTCCTCATGTCCGCCGCCATCGCGCTCGGGTTCGGCGTGCGGGCCGGCGCGGCGCAGCTGTGCAGCGAATACTACGACCAGACGTGCCCCGACGTGCACCGGGTCGTGCGGCGGGTGCCGAAGAAGGCGCACGAGGTCGACGTCCGCATCTAGGCCAGCCTCACCCGCCTCCACTTCCACGACTGCTTCGTGCAAGTAAAAAAAGCAGCCGGTCCCGTGTTCCGCAGACGGCCGCGACGCCGCGCGCTTGCGCCGTGCGCACGTTCTGAGCCTGCGTCTGTGTGTTTATTTCCTCGTCAGGGCTGCGACGGGTCCATCTTGCTGGACAACAGCTCGAGCATCGTGTCGGAGAAGTTCGCGACGCCCAACAACAACTCGGCGCGCGGGTACCCCGTGGTCGACGCCGTCAAGGCGGCGCTGGAGCAGGCCTGCCCAGGCGTCGTCTCCTGCGTTGACATACGCCCTGTTCGCTGGGACTTGTTTAACTGATAAACAATAGCTGAAAGTATTATAGGCTGATTTGATGTGTGAGAAAAATATTATTCGTTGGCTAAAAAAGTACGGCTTATAAGCTAAAAAAGCCCAAACGAACAGGGTGATACTTGCCATCGCCGCCAAGATCTCAATCAAACTGGTGAGTTTTTTTTCTAGCAGGCCGGCAAATGTACTCTACCGATCGATCCACCGTTAATAAGCCTGTTCGTTTCGGCTGAAACGATCGTGGATTATTACTACTAGCTGATTTAGTACGAGAAAAAAAATACTATTCTAACGTATAATCCACCATCATTTACGAAGCGGTCAGGCCAAATGAGTTGATCTTGACAAAACGATCGACATTGTTCAAGAAGAATTGACACAGAAGCAAACAAACTGTCGGACTGGCAATCTGGCATTGTACAAGCTCTGCCTGCCTTGCCGGGAAGCAATAGCTCTGGGCCTGGAGCAATAATTTGAAAGTAAGTCAGAAAAACTTATTTTAGATTTTAGGAGAGATATAATCTAAATCTGATTATCCTCTCTCTTGAAATTCTATTTACAGAAAAGGTTGTCTTTTGAATCTTATTATTGGAGAAAACTAAAAATAGGTATTGAATTCTTTACCTGTAGCGCTATCAAAATGATAAATGGGTCTTGTATTTTAGGTCGTGACTATTGGGACAGTCTCGGAAGATCTATGAGAAGAAGTTGACAAAATTGCACGCCTTTTAAATAAAAGCATGCACAAACAGATAACCCTAGTACAGTACGACGTTGATATTCACACGTCACATCACGTCGGCTGTCATCAGTTGGGCGTTTGAGCCCATAGGCACCAATCAGTTTCCTTTCCGTGCCACGCTTTAACCCAACACGGTCACATGACGCGTGGTCCCGTCCCGTCCGTCTATGCACGCAGTCCGGCGGGCCACGGTGGCGCGTGCCTCTCGGCCGGCGCGACGGCGAGAAAAATATTGTTCGTTCATTTAAAAAATACGACTTAAAGCCAAACGAATACGGCGAACATCACGGCCGCCAACAACCTCCCGAGCCCCTTCGACAACCTCACCACGCTCCGGCAGAAGTTCGGCGCCGTCGGCCTCGACGACACCGACCTCGTCGCCCTCTCAGGTAAGGGGAGCACACCGATGCCTCCGTGATTCTGCAGCTGCACGAACAGAGATGACCGTGGCGTCACCTCTCCGTGATTCTTGACGGCGCGGCTGTACAACTTCAGCGGGACAAACCGGCCGGACCCGACGCTGGGGGGTACCGGGCGTTCCTCGCCCTGCGGTGCCCCAGGGGCGGCAACGTGTCGGCGCTCAATGACCTCGACCCGACCACGCCGGACACCTTCGACAACAACTACTACACCAACATCGAGGCGCGCCGCGGGACGCTGCAGTCCGACCAGGAGCTGTTGTCGACGCCCGGCGCGCCCACGGCGCCGATCGTCGGCCGGTTCGCCGGCAGCCAGAAGGAGTTCTTCAGGAGCTTCGCCAGGTCCATGATCAGCATGGGGAACATCCAGGTGCTGACGGGGGAGCCAGGGCGAGATCAGGAAGAGCTGTAGAGTGGTCAATGGAAGCTAGACCCGTCGAAGTTGCAAGTAGTGCCCAAGTTAGTTACTGGTGAATTGAAAGCAGTTCAGCTGTATGTACGATGCTGCAAACATGTACGCATAGTTGAGGGCATGATGTACCGATCGATTTGTTTATGTCATGGAGATTCAATAAACTATAAAGTGGTGTCTGTAGTTTTGTTCAATATAAACATGTCCATGTACTAATCTCACTACATTGGCTGCGACTTGAGAGCGAAGATCATGCAGCATTGCTGCGAGTCTCTGACTCTCTGTTCTGATATGAGCCCCTAAGTTTCAGATTTTGATCCTTGCAAACTGGAAAAACCGTGCGTGTTGCGTAAGGCGTCCTCAGAGAAGAAATTCCAGCGACATCAGGTGAAAAAAAAGAGAGCGCCTGACCGCAGAGTTGCCTGTGTTGTGAGAAAGAGTGTCTTTGGAAGATGTGCGAACTCTCGCTAGCGAGTGTTCTCTCGCTAGTGCGTTGCTCGTGGCCCCTCGCGTTCAATAAAATTCTACCTTAACTAGCTATTTAAAAACCGTTGGAGACACCCACACCCTAACTACTTGGATTTGGTCAAGCTGGTCATGAACCTCCTCCGCCATAAATCTTTGCCCGAGCTCTGCCAATGCGGCCACACCATTGTGCTGGTGTTGGAATCGAATTCAACTCAACTTGAGGGCGCAACTCACCATAGTGGCACCTCTACACATGCATGCATAGGAGGGGTGGCAGTTGCCCCGAGACAAATTTGTCAGGAGGTGCTTAGGCCAATACCATAAGCATCTTCTAACAAATTTCCTGTTCACTTGAGCTACTTTTCAGTCATGGAACAATATTTTTTTCTCACAACATTTCAGCATAAGCGAAAAAGGCCAAAGTGGCTTGTCTGGATACATTCCAACGTCCATAGAATCACGCTCAAGTTTTTGGATGGAATTGTCTTTTGCAATGAGCAAAAGTTGATCCTTGGAGCTCTCATGCTACTACCGCTAATCCTAACCTAGCTTGCCAAAGACGTTTTTTTACAATAACAACTTTTAATCACCCTGTTCGTTTGGACTTATTTGGCTGATAAGCCATGGCTGAAAGTACCATTGGCTGATTTGGTGTGAGAGAAAAATACTGTTCGTTGGCTGAAAAAGTATGGCTTATAAACCAAACAAACCCAAACGAACAGGACGAATATATATAACGTTAAAGCACATTACACCAGTGTGGGAAAAGAATTTCTAGATTACAGAGTATAGTCAAGTAAAAGCTACTGCTGATCTGCTTCTTGCTTCTGTACACATAGATGTAAAGATGCTTCGCTGGTTGCACATCTACGTAGGCGCTCATGTTACGTCTAGAACTTAAATCTGAGTTGACATGTTCTACCAAAAAAAACTAATTAATTTAGAGCTGTCATCTTATTGCATTGCTATAGCAAATTGTAATAGGGTAGACTATTTTCTAGCATCTAATACAAGACCACAAAAAAGAGTAGAGATCATACAAGAAAAGTTCACCTGTGCCGGCAAAGTCTATGTCATAAAGTGGGTTATTTTTGCGAAAATATTTGGGCAAGTCTAAGAGGCGTTTGGTTCCCCGCCAAAGCTCGCCACACCTAACTTGTGGCTGCCACCATATCTTGGTTGGTGTTTGGATTGCATGCAAGCTGTGGCAGCCACATATTTTTTCTAATTCATTTGCACCTTTTTTTTCTGCCACACTTCTGTGGCGGCGCCACACACCACATCTTGCATGGCTGGTAGTGGGCAGTAACTAAACGGTCCAAGACTTCTTTAGGCAAACTTTTCAAGTTAACGTTTGGACCATCATCGTTTAGTTTAAGACAAGCGAGTTATAAACATCCTACAAATTTAATATGATTAAATGTATGTAAAAGTATTTATAAAGATTATAGTTTTGTTTTTTTAATATATTATAAAAATCTTCGCAAAAAAGTTAACAAAAATGTTTATGATAAAGATCAGTTTTATATGACCAAACCACGCCATGTAAAAATGAATGAAGGGGATTTCAGTTTCATACGGTCTGCTACACTTCTCAACCGTCACGTCACCAGCAGCCCATTTGTATCGCTCAATTTCAAATTATAAAGTCAGAACGATTTGTACCTGTAATTCAGGATGGAGCGAGTACTTTTGTACCAACACAAAATTCCAAACTGATTTCCAGCAGAACCGCAGGCATAGGCATGAAAGTAGGGACGCGAACGGTGGAGCCGATCCGCGCGCCTGAAATTCGACAAGATCTACCCCAAGTCGAGATCCAACAACACGCGCACTCAACGAACCTGATTCAAACGGTTTCAAAAGCGCGACCCCACCGCCGCGATCCACGGCTCCCGTTTCCGCCCGCGCCACACCCAGTCACCCACACGCCATGGCCTCCCCGCCGCGGGGGCAGCCCGCCACCGCCGCCGCGCCGGCAGCCGCGGCCGCCACGTCCCCGCAGTTGCCCGCCGCATCCCATCCGCTCCCCCGCGCGTTCCTCGCCACCTCCTCCCCCCGTGCCACAGCGGCTGCACCGGCGCCCCCGCTCTTCACCGGCCGGCCGCTGAACCCTAACCCTCCGGGCCACGGCTCCTCCGTGCCCCACGGCATCCTCTACCCCGTCCTGAGATCCGCGTCCACGTCCAACTCCGCGGCCGCGGCCGCTACCGCGCAGCTCCGCCGCGTTCCTCCGATGGCCGTCGGGTACCCCCGGACCCACGCCGTCGCCGTCCCCATTGCGCAGCAGCAGCAGCCCCTGGTGCGCGAGCTGCCCCGGTCCTTCGCGGCCGTGCCTCGGGCGCTTGTGGCGGGCGTGGCGGCGCGGCCCGAGCAGCCTCCCCGAGGAGTTCCTATAGCTTCACAGCCCAAGGTCAGTGAATTTTTGTTCGTCAGCTCTGAATGGAAGGTGAATTGGACTAAAGCTTCGGTCCTCCAATTAAACGTTTGCTTGTAGTTTTGGATTGCTATCGGTAAATTTTGATTTTTTTTGAGTCTGATGGAGCATTTGGAGGCTTGGGCCTGATGCTTTTGAGGTGTTCGATTAAATATCTGGCTATATTGTGGGATGTTACGATGTAATTAAAGTGATCTAATGGCAACGTGTGTGGTTATTCATTGTTCATTCAGTCCTCGTGAAATACTGGAGAGGATAAATCAGGGTAGCCTGTCGTCTTAGCATGTTACTCCCTCAATTTCAAAATGTAGGGGCATATTAGGATTTTTTTAAAAAAAAGTCAATATTGTGTTCATATTTTACATGCCTTCTAGTAGTTATATGTTGTAAGAGAAATTAATAGCCAAATCATACTTTGAAAGACTTTCTCAAGTTGAATATAAATATGTTTTGTTCTATTTCTGTTGGAACATCATAGGTTAATCCAATACCGCCTGTTGCTCCATCCAATGAGCAGAGCAACCCAAAAGACAGGTATGCAACAAAACAACAATCACATGTGTTTCTCATTTGGAATCAAAACTTGTAGAATAAAATGTTGCATTTGACTTCACGACAGGGAAAAGAGCAGAGAAGAACCTACAGTTGTGGTGATTAATGACCGCAAAGTAAGTACTTGTTCTTTGGGCGAATTGCATTAGTTTAACCTTTGTGTTATTGTCAGTAACTCAGTACATGGTCTAGTTAGACTGGGATGATTGTACTTTTTGGATAGTTTTAAATTTTTCCAGTGAATAATCCGCATAGAAATGGATCATAGGATCCGTGATGGCATTTGACTTTACATATTTTAATGCTCCCTTTGTTCCATATTGTAAGTCGTTCTGGCTTTTCTGGATACTACTATGTATCCAGAAAAGCCCGAAGGACTTACAATTTGGAATGGAGGGAGTATTTAGTAAAGAGGCGGAAAAGGTTATGACAATGTTATCTGTTATCTTCATTTCTCTTTTCCTGTTCGAGCAAGACAACCTTGTTCGGTTTCATATTCTTCAAACAATTGTGATCATATTGATACTTAAGTTATAAGTCAGGGCTATCATCTTATTTATGAAGGGATTGTTATGCTCCTAAATAAGGATCATTTTGCGAAGTTTATAGATAAATAACATGGGGTGCACAGAACGGTTAACATTTCTTATGGTTTTGTATTGGTTGCTCAAAGGTTAACCTGCTGGATAGTGAGTCAGGATCCTTGTATGCTCTCTGTCGATCGTGGGTTCGTAATGGTGTTCCACATGAAAGTCAGGTTAGCATACTTTTCTTCTTTCATATGAATGTAGCAGTTGGTCACTTGGTTTTTTGTTAAAACTATTCTGAATTAGCATTGTTCCTTTACTATGAAATTTCTCTAAATTAGCTGTCTAACATTCCTCAAGTGTTTTTATGGTGCCTTCTCTCATTATCTAAATCTTTTACTTTGATTAAAATTATGTGTTTTTCGTACAGTATTTGTATGATGTATGAGAAGTAATACGTTCCTGCTCAGTGCTAAGTTTAGCAAAATAAACCAGAATTGAATCTTCCAAACTATAGTATTCAGATACATGTACATGTATACAATAGGCACTTGGGCCATGGGCCTTATGGGCCAGACTACTAGTATAGACTGTGCTATATAGTTGACACCCCCCTTCAAACTCAAGGTGAATGCTGATTAAGAATCAGACACATTGAGTTTGAAAAGATAAAAACGATGATGTTCCTTTGTTTGAGGCTTGGTGAAGAAGTCTGCCACTTGAAGCTCAGATGGAACATATTTGAGATCAACTGTGGACTGTTGGCAATGAGATATAATAAATGATGCATCAACACCAATATGTTTGGTCAGCTCATGCTTGATTGGATTATTTGCGATTTGAATAGCACTCATATTATCACACAAAAGAGGTGTAGAGTTATCAGATGAAGCTCCAAGATCAGCCAGCAACCATCTAAGCCAAATTATCTCAGCAGTTGTAGTAGCAAGAGCTCTAAGTTCTGCTTCAGCACTAGAGCGTGATACTGCACTTTGTTTCTTTGATTTCCATGCAATGGGAGAAGTACCAATAAAGATGCAATAACTAGTGATAGAGCGACGGTCCATAGGATCACTTGCCCATGTAGAATCAGAGTAAGCATGCAGCTGAAGTGGACTGGACTTGGCATAAAATAGTTGTTGTGTTGTTGTCCCTCGTAAATACTGTAGAACACGAAGCAAATGTGCATAGTGAACTGATGTGGGGGCACCAATAAATTGACTAAGAATATGTACAGCATGAGCAATGTCGGGCCTTGTTATAGTAAGATAAACAAGACTACCCACAATATGACGATATCGGGAAGGATCAGCAAGAGGTGTACCATCATTGGGTCGTAGCTAAAGATTAAGCTCCATAGGTGTTGCTACAGTACGAGTATCAGAGAGGCCAGATCGAGCTATTAAGTCTTGAAGATATCTCTGTTGTGACAGATAATAGCCATGAGATGTCATTGTGACTTCTATGCCAAGAAAGTACCTCAAAGACGCCGTGTTTAGTTTGGGAAGTTTGGAATTTGGGCTACTGTAGCACTTTCGTTTTTATTTGGCAATTAGTGTTCAATCATGGACTAATTAGGCTCAAAACGTTCGTCTCGCAATTTCCAACCAAACTGTGCAATTAGTTTTTTTTTCGTCTACATTTAATACTCCATGCATGTATCACAAGATTTGATGTGATGGGTACTGTAGCACTTTTTTTGGATTTTGGGGTGGTAACTAAACACGCAAAGAATCGAGATCTGACATCATGAATTGTTCATGAAGACGTGCCTTTACAAAGGTAATATATTCAGTATCATCACCAGTAATCAGCATATCATCCACATAGAGTAAAAGTAGTGTGCGCCCACGCTCAGAAACATGGACAAACAGTGCAGGATCATGATCACTAGGAGTAAAACCAGCAGCTTTAACAACTGAAGCAAATCGTTCAAGCCATGCACGAGGTGCTTGCTTTAAGCCATAAAGAGCACGACGAAGGTGACAAACATAACCATCTGGTACCTTAACACCTGGGGGTGGTTGCATATAGACTTCTTCATGTAGATCACCATGAAGAAAAGCATTTTTAACATCTAGCTGGGAGATGTTCCATGAGCGAATGGCAGCCACACCAATGAGAGCTCAAACAGTAGTCATGTGAGCAACAGGAGCAAAGGTCTCCTCATAGTCACGTCCATAAGATTGCTGAAAACCTGGAGCAACTAGGCGAGCTTTGTATCGTTCAGTTGATCCATCAGCTTTGGTCTTAACTTTAAATACCCATCTGCATGTGATGGGGACAGCATGTGCAGGTAAAGGAACCACCTCCCAAGTACCAGTACGTTCCAAAGCTGCAAGTTCTTCGGACATAGCCTGCTCCCAAACTGGATTACCTGCTGCCTCCTTATATGAAGAAGGTTCAAGTTCACTAGCAACACCAGCAATGAGAAAACCAAGCCTGTCGGGTGCATGAATGGTGGCTCGATTTCTAAGATTATAACGTGTGTCTGGACTAGAAGAAGGATCATGAGAAGGAGTATCTGTGGTACTGGCCTCAGGATCAGGAAGACTAGCAGATGGCTCGGGATTTGAAGGAGCACGAGGACGATGACTATACTGGAAATGAATGGGAGGGCGTGTAAGAATAGATTGTGAAGGAACAGGAAGATCAGAAGAAATATGAATATCAGGTGGAGGCGTGAGAGAGTCCATAGGAGAAGTAGAAGAGGAAGGTGATGATAAATCAATGTAGATAGGAGGTAATGAAAGGAAAGAAATAGAGTCATTTGAAGACGATGATTTTGAGGTGGGTGAGTGGAAATAAGACAAGACTCAACGAAGGTGACATCACGAGAAATACGAATACGGCAAGCAGAAGGATCATAACAACGATACCCCTTATGCTCAAGGCTATAGCCTAGGAAAGCACACTCAACTGATTGAGCAGTCAGTTTAGTGCGTTCATGAGGAGAAAGAAGGACATAACATTTGCATCCAAAAACATGAAGATGATCATAGCTAGGATGGGATCCATGTAGAATTTCTCCAGGACACTTGCCCTGAAGGCCAGAGGAGGGTTGAAGATTAATTAGGTAGACAGCAGTTGAGATAGCCTCTACCCAAAAGTGAGCAGGCACGAAAGATGCAATCAAAAGAGTACGAGCTGTTTCAATAATATGACGATGCTTTCGCTCGGCAACACCATTCTGTGCATGAGCACCAGGACATGATAATCGGGCAAGAGTTCCTTTAGATGAAAGAACTTGACGAAAGGCATTTGACAAGTATTCTCCTCCAGAATCAGAACGAAAAATGCGAATAGTAGATGAAAATTGAGTATGTATCATACGAATAAAGGCTTGATATATACACAATAATTGAGATCGATGTTTCATAAAATAGATCCATTTATAACGAGAGTAATCATCAATAAAGATAACATAGTATTTGTGACCACCTTTTGAAGCAAAAGGAGCCGGACCCCATACATCTGAATGAACAAGATCAAAAGGATGTTCAGTTCTAGAACTACTAGTGGGATATGGCAGTTGTATCTGCTTTCCCAATTTACAACCAGTACATTCAAAAGAGGGATCTATGGACACTTTGCCAAGAACACCCTGCTTAACTAAGCTGGACAAACGAGAGCCACATAAATGGCCCAAACGGTGATGCCATTGAGGAAAGGTAACCATAGGAGAAGCAAAAGATGGTGATGATGGTGGTGGTAAAGATGTTGACGAGGACATCGGTAGATGTAGACGGTCGAGGATGTAGAGGCCAGATGAATTCTTATGGCGATGGCCAGTACCAAGAACGCGCGGACCGCGCGGACTTCACGGGCGGATGGGCGCGCAGGTACGAATAAACCAGAATCGAATCTTCCAGACTATAGTATTCAGATACATGTACATGTATACAATAGGCACTTGGGCCATGGGCCTTATGGGCCAGACTACTAGTATAGACTGTGCTATATAGTTGACACTCAGATCCCTTTATCTTGGATATTTGATCAGTATATGTCAAAAATCTGAATCTTTGCTTAGGAGTCAATCTGCTTTCAGAAATTAAGTGTTGATATTTTTCCTTGACAAATATTTACCTATGTATTTATGTCTAGGATGATTTAAATTCTATGCTGTGCTATAAAAAGTAAAAACATGATTTGAGTTATATGAAGGCAAACATATTCTGCAATGATCAGTGAAAGATGTGTGTCTTAAATTGTAAATTTGTGTTCATTGCTTTTGATTTTGTTTCATCTAGAGGCTACATGTGTTCGATTATTTTAGTTCATGTAGTTTAACAAGCTCCATGCCTGTCTGAATTGCTAAGTGCAGTTTATCAGTTTACACAGAGTACTGTTTTTTTTTGTGTGTAGATGGATGCTGCCTTCCCTTTTCTTCTTTTTTTGACTCCACACTCCAGAAACCCAATCGCACTACTATTTCTTGTCTGGATGGATTGTGTTTTCATTTCCCATTTTCTTCTTGATGTTTGATTGCATCTGCTGTCCAAACTCCTTTGTTGCCATGTTATCCGTGCACATGATTCATGTTCTATTCACTAACTCAGCCAAGCTTTGGAAATGGTGAACCCCTTCTTCCAAGACCTTTGCCTGCTTCAGTTGTAGATTCTAGAATATCAGAAAGGGACAATAATGATGTCGCTGGTGAAGATTCAGATGAAGAGCCACAGAAGGTATCTTCTATAAAATTTGCTTTGCAGTTTGGCTCACTAAGTTAATATCTTCTGATAAATGCACTATGATGCTCACAACTGGGATTATCTTCCTCACTCAGTTTTGGATTCTACTTGTTTGTTGTCCATATTGTTAGTTTTGGGTTTTTGAAAGTTGAACATTAAACTTATACCATACCAATACCACTTTCTAAAATATAAAAAGGCTGTAAGTTTGAAAAATCCACTGTTGATTGAAGTATGTGGCAGGTCACTAGCAGACAGATAATGATGTTTTTTAGTTTTATATCTTTGGTTTTAACCATGAAGGAGTGGATTAAAGATGTAGCTAAATACATTTGACGCAATAGGCCACAGTTTTTTCATCTTTCTTAGACCTTCATGGGGCCATTTACAAAATTTTGGCATCTGGGCCTTCATAACTAGCATTATGATATAGACTTGCAAATGTCTTTTTTGCGACTAGACAAAGACAACTTCTGTAGGGTGGAGCCTTTTAGATTTTACACTTGTTTTTGTCTCCCCTTGGTACCCTTCCAGTTTTTGTGTTTGCAGAAGTATTTCCCGAGCTTGATGCTCCACATAGGTTACTCTTGTTTGCATCTTCTTCTGCTTAAGACATTATGTGTCCCGTCTAAAAAGCAATACATTCTTTATTCCTGGGGAAGAGTTAAGTAACGGATTATTTGAAGCCAACATGTTGCAAAATTCGGTCTCATACTCATGTTCCCTACCAAATTTACCAATGAACTGTTCGTTGGTTGTGTCTTAAGTGATGAAATAGTTTTTTTTTTCTTTGGTAATGAAATTTTCAGATAGAGTTGTTTCTTATTCTGCGTCATCTACCACTAGTTTTTAGTCTGTTGAGCGCCTTTATTTTTCATCAGATCACAAGTGTTCCATTTAACATTACAATATTGGACCCCGGATAGTAATGTATTTACTCCTTCATCGTGCAGGATGCCAACGGTGAATACAATACAAGCGACTTATTGAAGCAGCATGTAAAGCGTGCCAAAAGGATACGTGCTGGGTATGCATATTTTGTTATCGTTTTATTTCACCCCTTCTCTACAGGGCTAATCAATTATCAGAATAATTAATATTAGGCAGATACATGGCATTGCAATAGAAATTATTGGTCCATGCCTCTGTGTGGTTGTTATAAACTAGATTAGTGTACATGTTCTTATGTTCAAAGTTGATAGCTTATTGCCCCAGTACAACTGCTGTTTGTAAAGCGTAAACGAACAACATATCAAGATAGTGATCTCGATGGGACAAGTAGTTCTCAACTTCTTATTCCTTTTTTTTTACAAATGGTTTTTTGACAGGTTGCAAAAGGATCGGAGTCGTCGGATTGAAAGATACAAGCAACGCCTTGCACTTCTTTTGTAGAATCGGCCTGTGACTGTATAAAGTTGAAACCATAGGTGTTTGTCTTGTAGGTTGTAACTTCCGTGTTGGAATTTGTTAAGATGTTTTATTGACTACCATTTTATGTCTAGGACCATCTGGATGTTTTATTGCCAACATTATCTAATAAAATGAAACTGAAACCATAGTCATCTTTGATGCTTTTCAAGTTTTCATGATACAGTTAGCTGAATCCGGCCCACGGGCATGTTGAGTATTCTGAGTTTCTAGCTTCTATTTTTGCGTGGTGAAGAGCTCTCTCATTTCTCGGTTACTCGCTTAAAGTCAGGAATTTGTCGTCCCATTTGCTTGGCAAATTTTGAATCAACATGAGAGAAGTCTCCGTTGGGTTAGCAACGTTTCCCAGCGCCGGTCCCCTGTTACAAAAAGGTTCTTAAAAAAATTCAATGCAATTTATTTTGTGTCTGGCTATGAAACTTCTCAGGAACATGGCGCGAGAAGCCGGGAACTCCAAAGCTGGAGCTAACAATCGGTTGACTAGATCAAGGAGCAACTACTTGGAAGCCAGAGAGGTCACAATGCGTTGGACTGAGGCTGAGCGCAAGAATTGAAATGCTCACCTACCTTTGCGACGGTCATTGCAAATGCAAATACCAAGTTACGGAGTACAGAACAAAGAAAAAACAAATCATTAGGTTAGAGGATGACCTCGGCACTGCTTTCACAAATCACACACGACGAGAAGTCCAAATGCTCGAACGCCACTTTCTCAAACCTTGGGCCTTGGTGAAAAGAGGCTAGGCGTGGTGATTGATCTCTAGGAGTTGCAACTGCTGCGTGCTGATGTCACGCACCTCGTCGAGCACCCCTTCTCAGAGGAAGAGATATGCCTGCACAAGTGGAGAATAATCAAATCTTTGCTAAGCGGACAAAGCGTCCCCGACCGGACGGCTTCACAGCTGAGTTATCGTGGAGGCCTACCGGCCACCGTCTAAATATTAATCACTCTCCTCCGAAGCGCTTGCAACTGGTAGCGGGTCTAGGATGACCGGTTAAAAGTTCTTAATATTTCTGTTCTCCTTCTCGTTTTTCTCTATTTTTTCTTCTTCCTCTTGTTCATTGTTGAATAAAAAATATTGGAAAGGCTAACTGTCCGCGCAAACCGGACGCGGGAGGGGGGAAGGGTGAGCACTCCCAACCTCTGCTAAAAACCGAAGAGACACTAAGAGACTATAAACCAATTAGAGCATCACCAACACAGACCAACACCGGCTAGTGGTCTGAGTAAAAACTGCTGCCATGTAGGCTTTGAGTAACTTGAACAACTATTATTTGAACGCATAGAGATATGAGGCGTTGCTTCACCCAAAAAATGTAACACAATAGCAGGGCTATGAGCCATCTTTTTCCCTCCGGCACTTTCTTATCTTTCCTCAAGGCTTTACTTTTTCTGACTTAGCTATAGTTGCTTTTGCAGGCTACTCTGACACATTGTGAAACCACTATCCACGCTCTCTCTCTCCACATGGTGTTCAAGCCTATATGGCTCTGCGAGGCTAACAACCACGTTGGTGTATTAGGGCTGGCCTAGTATACACAGCTTCACGAAGCTATCTGCTAATGGCAAAGCTGCTCACAACAAGCTTGCGTTAGAGCTTGTAACGGATTTGTAGAGTTCCTTGTGTCAGCCTCAACAAATCGGCCTAGATACAACATTGGTGCATTATGTTTATTAACACACACCTGCTCTATCCACAGCAGATTCAAATTTGTGGAATAGGCATCACCTAATTATTTGGATCTACTATACTGATAATTAGCTACTCCCTCCGTTTCAAATTATATGACGTTTTAGCTTTTTTAGATTCATAGTTTTTGCTATGTATTTAAATATACAGTATGTCTAGATACATAGCAAAAGTAATGTATCTAGAAAAGCTAAAATATCTTGTAATTTGGTATAGAGGGAGTAACTAATAGCTACTAGCTACTAGCTTATTATTACCCTAGAAAGTTATTTGAATTCACCTACTAATATGTCGCTAATAAGTAGTTTCTTCAAGGAACAGGAGGGGCAAGACACCTACTAAATTATATTAAATGTAAAAGAAACAAATAATTACTAAGGGTGTGGGAGGTTAAAATAGTAGCCCTAAATCTACTGGTAGAACTAATAGCTAGAAGCCCCTTATCTAAGTTAGTCTGTTAGTAAGTCTATTTGAACCCACTAGTGGTAATGGTAATGTGATCAAGTAGTAAGGTGATCCATGTGTAAGAGAAAGTGAAATTTGTTTGGTTTAGGAATCACTGCTGGCGTTGCTTGCGGGCGGAGAATAGACGACCAGACAGGGTTCGGAAGTCGCGTGCTGTAATTAGATACAGGCAGGAGAGGAGTGACATCGCCGTTTTGAAGGTTTGTATCCAATACCACGTGAACTAATTTTGGCCCAGCTAAACTAAACAAGGAGTGACATCTCGTAGGGTGAACCAATAACTGGGCAAAGAGTTGGAACCAAACAACACCTAAGTACGGTGATGCTAAACCTCCACAATCTCACGTCAATGCACAAATGTTACATGGCTTTATCAATCTTAGATTTACAACCTAATTACTACTTTGCAGCAATTATAGCTGTAGGGCAACGGAGTGCATGGACATTTAGGAGTTAGGACTATGGGGATGAGCGTACTTCGTAAAAAGACCGAGACAATTTCTCTATTTTTTTCGAGAATGTGTTCGTTGACACGCGTTTTATTAAGACGGAGACAATTTTTCTAGAAAATATTGATTTATTACATATTCTCAATTCAAACAATTCATGGACTTTTGTATGGGGAAAAATCATGAATTTACACATTGAATGAATATTGAAGAACAAACTACAATCAGAACAGAATCAGGTTCGGTTCACCACCCTGCAGTCCCTCCTGACCTGCCCCATTCCCCCGGTCAGGGGCGCGATGTTCCCCATCTTGATCATGGCCGTCGCGAAGCTCTGGAAGAACTCGGCCTGGCTGTCGGCGAACCGTCCGACGATCGGCGCGGTGGATCCCGCGCCCTCCTCCGGCGCCGAGAGCATCGCCTGGTCGGACCTGAGCAGGCCGCGGTTGCGCAGGACGTTGGCGTAGTAGCGGTTGTCGAACGTGTCCGGCGTGGCCGGGTCGAGGTTGTTCAGGCGCGTGTTGCCGCTCACCGCCGCCGGGCAGCTCTCCCGGAGCGCGGCGAGGTAAGACCGGTCCAGAGTCGGGTCCGGCCGCTCCGTGGCGCTGAAGTTGTAGAGCCTGTCCTGGAAGGACTTGCACTGGGCGCGGCCGATCGTGTGTGCCCCTGCATGGTGCAACGAGGCACGTCATTGTTTGATTTGAGTTCAGCACGCGCGCGGCCACAGGACCGGTCGTTGGTGTGTCGTTCCGTCCGTGTGCTAAAGTGAAATACCTTGGAGGGCCACAAAATCGGTGTCGTCGAGGCCGAGGTCGGCGAACTTCTGCTTCAGATCGTTCAACGCTTCCTTCGGGTTTGGGAGGTTCTGGGCGCCGTCGAAGTTAGCCGCCATGCCGTCCCTCCGGCCCAGCATCACCCTCCAGTACGGACCTCCTGCCTGCTCATGCATATATCCAGTCAGGAAAACGGCATTAGTAATGATCCCCTAGCCGCAGTGTTGCTCTCGATCGACGGTAACTTCTTGTACGTTGCACCGTGTGTCCATATATGTCGTGTCAGGGCACTACTAACCAGCTCAACGGAGACCTCGGCGGCCAGGGCGAGGATGTCGGCGCAGGAGACGACGCCTGGGCAGGCGTTCTCCAGGGCGGCCTTGATGTCGTTCACCACGGGGAACCCCCGCGCGGAGCCGTTGTTGGGGTTGGCTGCCTTCTCGCTGCGCATCGTCGGGGTCTCGTCGAGCAGAAGCGACGCGTCACAACCCTGCACGAGCACGACACGATCAATCGAACACGCGACGCGAGCACCGTTCAGAGCCAGATCCATCGGTTAGCGTAGCGCCATGCATGGGCGTCGTGCACGTACATTGACGAAGCAGTCGTGGAAGTGGAGGCGGAGGAGGCTGGCAAGGATGCGCGGGTCGGAGGCGCGCGCCTCCTGGACCACGCGCCGCACCGTGTCGTACACGTGCGGGCACGAGCCGTCGTAGTACGCCGGGCTCAGCTGCTGCGCCTCCGCGCCGCCGCCGAGCGCCGCGAGGGCGAACGCCGCCGCGAACAGGGCTGCTACGGCCACTGCTGGCATCGCTGGGACCGCCATCGATCTTTGCCGAGAAACTCTCTCTTCCAAACCTCTACCTCGTGATCGCGCTTGTTTTGTCGCGTGTGCAGCGAGGTTTATGGCTGGCAACTGGGTATAGCTCGCCCGGTTGTCACTTGCTTTAGCCAGCGGTGACCTTGTGTGTCGTGGATCGGGGCATGGCGATGGTTCTACTTATATAGGCAGTGCAAGCGAGGTTTTGACATGTTCCCGGCACGGACCTTGATGCTTTAATTGCAAATAATAGATCAACGCAACTAACAGTGCGCGCGACGATTCACTCTGGGCACCAACGCGTACTGGTTATTCAGAAAGGGTCTCTGATTGCAGAGGCGACGACGAAATGGTCCTGCAGAGTGCGGTTAATTGTCGTTATAGATGCTTAAATTATTGCACCCTAATCGCACAAGACATTTCAAAAATGCGTCTGAATATGCGTTGGCGATGTTGATACTCCGTGCCTTTTTCACTCGCTTCAATCATCCGTGAAGACTTCACTTAGAACTTCACCGTCACAGGAGTAGTTTAATGTTAAATCAAGAATTCGTCTCCGTTTAATCTTCAAGAATTACCTGACAGCGCGTTCGAAGTGTCGTGAAGGGATTTAACTCAAGTGTGTGTCTTCCTCATATTAGCATGAATATTTCTTTGCGTCAAATTTTTCCTAGCACAGTCGTGATGCTGACGCTAGCAAGTTCTATGCATCCAACTGTATAAAATTATCGTAAAAATCTGTATAAAATCATGCTTTCTTCTATTTTTACTTTTTTTATTACTGCAAGAATGAATCAAAATTTCCTTTGAGAGTATCAAAATGGAAGCATCGTGCCAGATCTCAAAGTTCTCCACCGCATCCAATGGGCCGAAAACCACAAAGCAAAACGCACTGCCCGATTCAACGGCCCATTTCACTCCACCAGTGACCAGCCTTCCTCGCTTCCCTAGGACCAAACCCTAAACCGCCGCCGCAACCACGTATAAAAACCCCGCACGCGCCGCCGCCGCCGCCCTATTCTCCACCGCCGCCGAAGCAGTCACAGGAGCTCCCAGCCCCGAGAACATCCAGGTTCGACAAGATGCAGATCTTCGTGAAGACGCTGACAGGGAAGACCATCACCCTCGAGGTCGAGAGCAGCGACACCATCGACAATGTCAAGGCCAAGATCCAGGACAAGGAAGGTATGCGAGCGCGTTAGCTCATCTGTTGGTAGCGAAGCAAGAATATTAGTAGCATGTGTAACGCAGGCGCTAAGCGGTTCGGTTTGTTCCGTCCCTAGGAATCCCGCCGGACCAGCAGCGGCTGATCTTTGCCGGGAAGCAGCTGGAGGATGGCCGCACCCTTGCGGACTA